TATTGCTAAAATGTTTTGTCGCTGACCTCTCTCTTCATTTAAAAGTCTTATTCTAGACCATTTCATAACAATAGAGTGGAGAGTTTTACAGTGACCATCTGTCCAGATCACTGTTCATACAAGTGCATTTCAACAACCACACATACACTAGAAATAAAGAAACACTGCCACCTAGAGTCAGAGAATCTGGCAGGGTTCAAACTACTTTCCTTCCAAGCAGTTTAATATAGTTTTTGATCACTATGCTAATTTGCATGGACTTCAGTCTTCTTGCATAGCAATTTTACTGGTTAGTAAACCAAGTGTTTGGACTACATCGGTTAGTTTATCTATGGAACTGAATGTGTGGATCATTAAGGTGATTTTCTAAAAACCTTTCCTTTCAAATTCCATTTGTCCACTCCCATGACTTATAGACCCATGCCATCTTTTTCATATCACAACAAACTAAAGGACAAACATTATCCTGGTGCTTTGAGAAACTCAGTTACTGCTGATAAAAAAACAAAAAAGCAGGCTACATGTTCTATTTAGGTGTACGGTGTAACATTTACCCCACATTTACATGAGGAAACTATGGAAGCCCGTTTCTGCCACTGAATAAAATTTTTTTTAAAAGGTTAAATTCTCACAATTCTGACTTTTTTTCACAGAATTGCGTGATATAAACTCACAATTGTGAGTTATAAAGTCAGAATTGTGAGAAAAAAAGTCAGAATTGTGAGTTTATATCTCGCAGTTCTGACTTTATTTCTCAGAATTACGAGTTTATATTATGACTTTTTAACTCACAATTGCGAGTTTGTATCACACAATTATGAGAAAAAAAGTCAGAATTGTGAGATAAAAAGTCGCAATTACCTTTTTAATTTTTTATTCAGTGGCGGAAACGTGCTTCCATAGGAAAAAATGGGAAAAGGCACAATGAATGTTAAATCAACTGAAAGCAAAAATCTGCGATGCATCATTTCATTTTATTGAGTAAAATCAATACGTTTTCATTTTACAACATATAAATCCCACATAATTAGTGCAGAAATGAGTATACAGACTTAGACACTTTATTGAATTTTTTAAAAATTATAACAAAACCTGTGAAAGTAACAACAAACAGGCTACATGTTGTGGAAATACCCACCCAAGCATTTTAGCATTTTTTTTTGGCTTACTCTGTTCAACAATTGTGTTGAACAGAGTAAGGCAATCCATGTAAAAGCAATGAATGATGAAGACAGACTGTGTGAGCCAGTCACCAATAGTCAATGAAAAAAGTTCTTCTGCTGAGTTAGCAAAGTCACAGGCGGTGTGCAGACACTTCAGTGCTCCGACGCACAGGTAACAGTCCAAACGTTACCCTCAGGTTCGAGACGGCCCCAGAAGCTAGTGGATATTATTTCTTAAGGAGGCTGTTAATTGCTTTAATCTCATCACTGCTCAGAGGAGAAAGGTTGTATCCTCTGAGTTCAGGCTTACCTGTGCAAGAAACAATTCGAAACAGAAAAAATAAGATGCTCTGATATCTACTACTAATGTTTTATGACAGTAACCTGACACATTTTTGACACTGGCAGTAAATCTAGGGTTACTCTGTAGCTATAAACACTGACTTGAAGATGAGGTTTTATATAGGACAAATCATGAATGAATCAGGCTGGCAAAGCAGCTCTACCTTGCAAGTCATTGAGACGGTTTACTTTTGCTTTTAGTCGTTTGCGGAGGTCAGATATTTCCTTGTCAAGCTGCTCTTGGTCTGTTGGGAACAATATAACAGCAATAGGCCAAGTAAACACTGAGACAAGTCGAAATGTATTACTCAGACAAAAATATGGTTGAAGAAGGCACACTCACCTTTAAGGATCATGGATCTGGTACTTTCTTGGGGGAATTTGATGAACATATTTCCAAAACACACTTTCACATTATCTAGATTAGATTGGATTCAACTTTATTGTCATGTGCAAAGTACAAACACAGAGGTAACAAATCAGCATCCAAAAATACAAATAGCAGCAATTGTTTTACATAATGTTATGCTGTAAATGCAAAATGTTATGGTGTTAATGCAAATGGTTTCATGTATAGCCTCCTAGGACCCAGCTATAAAATAACACTTAAGGCCAATTTATTCATTTATTCTTCTTTATTAGCCCTATGGCGGGGCTAAAAACGCATGTTGGTGATTAGAAATGCACTGAACAATTTCTAATGTTATCAAGAAAATTGCATCACGTTGGCCTACTACATTTTAAACAGAAATGCACTACAAGTTACATATATTATATGAATAAAGGGTTGGAAATGAATGCTTTTCTTGCTTTTTTGTTTTTTATCCGATTCATCGATTAATCGAAAAAATAATCGACAGATTAATCGATTATTAAAATAATCGTTAGTTGCAGCCCTAGTATTATATATTTGATGTATTTCATAACATAGCAGATTTCATGTTTATCAGATACAGACATTTATTACAGAAATACAAGTAAACATCTTTTTTCAATATTTTCACGATTTCAGTGTTTCATATGGTTAATAAACAAAAATAAATAAAACATTTTTTTTTTATGAAGGAGAGTGATTTGTGAAATATCAATTATTTTGCCTGTACTGTCTTGTCTTCTTCCTAAGTATATATATCATATATCTATCATTTTCATATGTAAACAAACAAAAAAAAACTACAATGCATGCATGCATACAGGATCCCAGGAGGATACATAACCAGTAACCAGATCAGTGCAAATGCCACTAATAAAACAAGACAGAATATAAATAGAGAAGGTACAGTGTATTCAAGAACAGCAAAAGCGTGCAAAATGGCAGGAATAACAGCAATAACGCACAATATAAAAGAAGTCAGACAGTATTCATGAGATCTGCACACACATACTTACCGTTTGAGGAATGGTTTCGTAAAGCGCCGAGTGCTTCTCGATTTCTGTTTCTCCGCAAATCCAGATCCACGATCTGTCGACATTTAAGCGGATATTATAAACACTGTTAAAGCGAAATGTCTCATTGTACGTTTGACTATAATTTACTACTTTCATCATTCAAACCTACCTGTTGCTTGTCACTAAAAATATCTTCTGCAGCGACTTCTAACTCAGTCAAATACTCCAGTATTCGCTGTGCTGTCTCGTCCATGCTCGAGTCTGTATGCTGTGCGCTGGAAAAACATGCCCGACTGATGAGGGAAACAAGTTCTGTTCGATTTCAGTTCCGTCTGCCATCGTTATATTTAGAGATACCTTAATTTAAAAAAAAGACTACTTTTTGGTTACTTTTAGATTACTTTTGGTCTAACTTGTTTAGCACATTGATTTAAATAGGATAATCTTGTACCATATTGATATAAAAATGTAAAGAGTATGACAATACATTCTATTTGTTATAATTAACAACATAAAGTGCATTAAACATTACATTACATCAGGGTTTCCCAAACTGGGGTTCTTAAATGAACTGCAGGGGGTTTGCGAGTTTAATGAAAAGCTAATAGTTATTAAATCATAAAAAAGTAAAATTAAGTCATTTTTTAAAAACACCAATCAAAATACACTTAGCTACTAAAAAAAATGAAATATTTCATTTGTTTACCTGCATGTCATGTGACAATTAACCAGAACCGTGAACATGCAGTGATTGGCTACTTAATTATTAATACATTTATTTTAAAATCGCAGGGGGTGCTTCAAGTAGGAAAATAAAAAAAAAAAGCAACTGTAGCCTAGTCTGATTTGGAGTATTTTAAAATGTAATTTAATCTAATTACAAGTAGGCCCTACCCTACTTGATTTTTTTTTTATTTGATTACGTAATCCAGATTACATGTAGGCTAATCAATTACTACCCTTACCAAAAAGTAGTATACTTCAAGTTTATTTGATTAAGTATACTTAAGTAATTTCTGAGAAGTACATAAAAAGTAGACTAAAAGTATACTTTTCTATTTTTTAGTTTAAAAGAAGTATACTAATAGCACACTTGAATAAACTTCTTTTTCGTAAGGGGACCCTCTGTATGTAATATGTTTGATCTTTTGCAGCGTCTCGATCGTTCTAAAAGAGCACAACACAATTCTGACTAGACTTTTAGGTAGTGCATCTCGATATATATATATATATATATATTTTTTTTTTTTCATTAAATTGTCTTGCATCTCACAGTTTTAAACGCAACAGCGCATTCTGTGTGAATGGCCCCTCGCGTTGTTTGGTGTGCATTTCTACGGTTTTAACATCACTGACAATGACACCAGTGACCAAAAAAAAACTAAAAATACTTCTCTGTCTCTGATGAGTCTACAATCTTTAAATTATAACAATAAATGCTAGCGTCTGGGACCAGAACAGATGGCCAGTTCATTAGCACCAATTTCTCTGAATAGCCTATACGCAGAATTTTCTTTACATGGCATTAGACATTTACTTTTTTCCCCCAAAGCTAAATATCCTTAAATGTCATCAAATGATTGCATTTATTTTTTATAAATATATTATTTTATATCCTTTTATAAACTGAAAAATAAAAAGATTTGTCTACTTGATATATTTCCTATGACGGAAAAGATTGGACTCAAAAGAAGGGACAGCTTGTCACCATATTTTGATAGATCAATTACCCTCAACATTTAGCATTGTAACTATAGTGGGGCATGTTGTCACAGCAATTATTTGACAAGAACACTATTTATCTGTGATAACTATCTGCATTAAAAAGAACATATTTAAGGTATTACACAATGTGTTTATGTCTTTAAAATTTAACCAGTAAAAGAATTCTAAATATTCTAAAATGAAACTAAAAGGAATAAGTTGATTCTTGTCTGAATGTAATTTCTATGATTGATTCATAAAAAAAATAACGTACAGGCATTCATTTTATTCAACAGACTCTGAACAAGTGTTGGTAAGAAATGAATCTGTCCTTCAAACATCTGGAATTACTTTGGATATGGCTATTATAAACATGTCCTAGTAACGCTTCCCTTGTCAAGAGGATTGTAAAGAGCTTTAAAAACATATTTTATTTATGGTCTTCACATTCACCTTATGAATCAGGCCTAGAATGAGAAAAATAATAAGTTATACAATGTAAGACGATTGCTTGTGCTCATTGGGACAGTCAGGTTGAGGGTAATGGTGTGCAGACACATGACGTTTCAGTTCGAGCATATCATGTGTAACTGTAAACTCTAGTGTGAGTGGTTAACCAGTGCTGCTAACAGCGAAACATCAGTTGTACTATTAACCCTTGTGCGGTCTTCGGTCATCCATGAATGGGAAATGGGGGGGGGCAATAGGGGGAAAAAAATCGAAAATACAGAACTTTTTTGTGTACAATCTACAAATCCCCCACAACGCAGAAAAAAAATTGCACAGCCATGAAGGGGTGAAACTCTAAAACATCTAAGAGTGCAAAATCAACACACCAACTCACACACGCGCGGACACACACACACCTATGAACTGGTGTGACTGTAACACTGCAACTATGTAAAATAAAATCAATAATTCAACTACAATGCAGTAAAAAAGTGGACAGCAAGGAAGGGGTTACACTCTAAAACATCAAGAGTGTAAAACAGATACATCCACTCACACACACTCACTTACACACACTCACAGACGCACATACAGAATTATACATATAAAATGAATTGGTATGGCTATAACCATATAGCCAAAATGAGTCAGAAGACTGAAATAAGAGGTTAAAAGCTCTGATAAAGCATTTATGTAAATTTTTGTTACATTTTTATAGAATTTTAATGTTTTGTGTAACAAAATGCTTTCTGTATTCAGGTTTGAATGTAGTAATAATAATGCAAAAACCTACACCTCAAATCAACATTTAAAACAACAAAAAATATAAAATTTGACAAAAAGTAGTCTTTGTGAATGCCTTATACATTTAAATCCACAACCTAATAAAAGTAAACAATTATGTATAAAAACAACTAGGGAATTCACAAGCCTCTCTATAGAGTCCTATACAGGAATCTAGTGGTTACACCATGAAATTACAGATTTTTCTTTTCTTTTTTTTTTTTTGCTCTCACCAGGAGGTGCTATTAGGCATTCAAAAATTGGATTTTAAAGGCCTAGTCTCTATTTTAATCTGAAATACTGCATTAATTGAAAAATAATTGTAAAAAATTTAAAAACAATTTTTAATATTTTCAATGGGAAAAACTGATCATAATTATTGCATAAATATTAATTAGTACCATAAAATTATCTCAAAATACAAAAGAAAAAATATTATTTGAACAAAAATATATTCGATTGATTTTACTGAAGAAAATAAAAGTTCAATTTCAGGTGTCTGGTCAATTTTGACCGCAGAGACCAAGAGTGTGACCCCCAAATGAGGAGCACACAAGGGTTAAATACATTGCTGTACCTGAAACATCTGTGTAAGCACTGCCTACATATAAATTAACAAGTATTGCAGAAATAACAATTGTCTATTTTAAACTAAACTTAACATTAGATTAAAGATCCCTAAAGGGACCTGAATTTATGAAATTGCAGTCAGACCTGTTGATAGAAGATGCTTCAAAGAAATGAATGCAGATATATTGCTATTTCAAACAATGGATTTATAAAAGAGCAAGTTGTTTAAACAATTACTAAAAAATAAGATTTAAATAGAAATAAACATGGAGGTATATCATGCATAAAGTCGTAGTAAAAGACGACTTAAACTTAAGTCTTAAAATAATGCCTGCGTAAACAGGCAAAAGTGATTTTGTATGGTAAGAAGTACTGAACTTAAGAAGAATATGTACATACAATGATCCAAAAACTATTTGGACACTTAAACCACACTGAACAGAATGTCACCACATTAGATGAAATATATATATATATACAGTGGCATTTATAGTATTTTAAAGTAAAACTTTAAAATACTACTTAACGTTGTCTAAATGTCACTGCGATAAATTTCTCCGAAAATATGCCACTTGGTTTAAAATTTCCTTATCTAATGCAATGAAATTCATACATTTTAACTGATTTCCAGGCCACTGTGTTGAAGTTACTTTGTGACATGAAATTGCAGTCAGACCTGTTGATAGAAGATGCTTCAAAGAAATGAATGCAGATATATTGCTATTTCAAACAATGGATTTATAAAAGAGCAAGTTGTTTAAACAATTACTAAAAAATAAGATTTAAATAGAAATAAACATGGAGGTATATCATGCATAAAGTCGTAGTAAAAGACGACTTAAACTTAAGTCTTAAAATAATGCCTGCGTAAACAGGCAAAAGTGATTTTGTATGGTAAGAAGTACTGAACTTAAGAAGAATATGTACATACAATGATCCAAAAACTATTTGGACACTTAAACCACACTGAACAGAATGTCACTACATTAGATGAAAAATATATATATATACACCAAGTGGCATTTATAGTATTTTAAAGTAAAACTTTAAAATACTACTTAACGTTGTCTAAATGTCACTGCGATAAATTTCTCAGAAAATATGCCACTTGGTTTAAAATTTCCTTATCTAATGCAATGAAATTCATACATTTTAACTGATTTCCAGGCCACTGTGTTGAAGTTACTTTGTGACAAATTCAACATGCTTTTGCCTCCTGTTCACTCGATTAGTCGATGAGTCTTTTGAGCTATGTAACCCATCTGAACTTACAGCACAAGATAATTTTGAGTCCTTTCGTGTTTTATCAAAGGTCTTCCTTTGTTCACTGCGTCCTCGTGCCCTATAGCCGACCTCCCTCGAACCCACACAGGAATGACTCCTTTGCCCTGGCTTTCTCTTTTTTACATCCCCAATACTGGCATTGCTGGCTGTTGTAGCTGTAGAAGAAGCTTGGTCAACACTGTATGTGGAACCAACCGGATTGCGAATGTTACCGATAGCCTGCATGCGCCTCAAGTGGCTGCTCTCGCTCAGAGGGTCGCTGAGTCTGTGCTCTCGAGATCGGTGTCTGGGATCCGGCTGATGAGCCCTGCTCTCACTGCTGCTCCTTTTAGGCAAACCTGAGACCTGGCCCTTCTTCTCCAGGAGTGGACTCAGCCGTGTGTGGTGGTGGTAGGCATAAGAGCGGCATGGGCCATTCAAGATGGGATACTGATTCTGGCAGTGTGGGCAGGTACAGCTTGACAGCTGAAGGGTGGGAGCACTGGCCAAAGAGGACAGTAATGTCAAAGGGAACGCTCGCTGGCACTGGAGGATGCATTTAGGAGAGCTGAGGCTGAGATGAGAAGACGAATGAGGCAAGTGGCGAGCTTTAGGTAATGGGGCGTTGGATTTGCTGCTGTCTTCTTGGGCCGTTTGGATCTGATGCCATTCCAATTGCAATAGCCGGTCCAAGTATCTCTCAAGCTGCCCAACGGGCTTGGGTCGAGGAATGCCCTTGCCTTCGGTGTTCAAGTACACAGCTAACTGCAGGAGACTCCAAGCATTGAAAGGAGGCGGTAAGAAATCTGGATAGCTGTTGTGCGCTCGACAAGACGGTCTCGAGGGATGAAAGGCAGACGGATCTATGACCTCTGCACGTAGGTTGAGGTCAGGAGGAGAGATTTGAGCGGGAAGCGCAGATCTTTCAGAGTCTGAGAGGTCACTGGCACCGTCCTCTTCTCCATCTTTACTTTGTAGTGTACAGCCCTCGTCTTCGCTTCTGCACTCTGATGAGTTTTCTCTCTGAACTTGTACAGAATGAGGGGTTACGGGTCTTACACTTGAACTTTTACCCCTGCCACCACTCTCTTTTGCACCATGGCTGTTTGGTCTTTGTCGTCTCTCCTTCTGTCCATTTTTGGAAGTGGCATGAGATTTGATCTTAGTGGTGTGTTGCCTTGAGGAGCCAAAGGAAAGGGTTTTAAATGTCTTTGAAATGTTTATTTTTTTTATCTTTAAAACTTTATTTTGCCACATATTGACAAAAATAATTATGTACATGGCTTTATTTATATATTTATTTTAGCTGCTTGTCCTATTATAATAATCAGGTTATAGTAAAATGTAATATGCATAACTTAAACACTGTAAAACAACAAAAAAAAGTGTTAGCCTTTATCTCAATCAATCATCTATGTGCCAAATTCTTTTCTAACCTCCCTGTGGGGTTCGCCATGATCAACATTTTGTCCAGTCTCGTCCTGCTTAACCTTTGCTGAGAGTCCTGCAGACATGAGGAAAACAGCACTCACAAATAACAATCAGAAGCTCAATTTATACTGATGTTTACTTTTCTTCATTTCATTATTTTATTTTATTTTTTATCTTTTTTAAATTAAGTTCACACATAAACCATTGCTGTTGAGTACTCACAGGTTCAGATGACTGATTGATGCCATTATTCGGTGGTGGATGCAAAGGTGCTTTTGTGCTTTTCTTGCTTTGAGTGAAAAAGTCAGGTTTAGTCAAGATCAGTTCAGAAATAAAGGCAGCTAAATTTGGTAACATGTTTAAAGAAGCTTATCCAAGCGTGACCTGGCAGGTAAATAAAACATGACCTTCATTTAATTAAGGTTATTTATCGTTACCTTGGTGCATGTCCCAAAGCTTTAGTTTTTGTTCTATCAGACGAACGAAGCTTATTCTGACTGTTATGCACAGTGCTCTCCTGTAAAACCGTTCCCATCACTGGCGTTTCTCAAAGCAGCCTGGATCTTCTAGAACGGATGGATTCTCTCATATTATACGCACGGAGTCTTTTGATCTATATGAAGGCATATGTATTTTTTCTCGATCATGTGAGGTTTACTCCCACGATCAATCGACTGTCTCGCGCACTGCTCTCTTTAATCCTCGGTGCATCTGTACCGTTCTCTCCTAAATAATTCAGCGACGACCGGATCAGCCTGTCTGTAATGAGATGCATCGGTCAAATTAGTCGGTCTGTTCGATTTCGTCTAATGCGCTACACTAATCGATATGGAGTTAATTGTCTGAAGCTTGTAAATGAGGATATTTACGCAGGCGTGTATTCCAGCTGTGTGAATGCTGAAGGGCGCATTGTTGTGTGGGAAATGTAGTCAACAGTGTCACAGGGTTACAGTGAAGCCTACACGATACTGTAAATATGTCTGAGACCCCATGTGCACTGTATGCGAGCGACGCGCGCTATTTAAGACGATTTCGTTGCGTTCTAGCTTGTCGCGGCGTTTATTCGCATCGAGATTGACTGAGATCTCGCTCTGAAATATTAGCGCTATGCATCGTTTACAGACAGGACGTGAGAATGTCGTATCTCATGTACGGTGGTCTAATAATAATCGTCGGTGAGATAGTTCAGACTACACCTCCCGTGGGATCAGTAGTTAAATGTCATAGGTGCTCGATCTCCGCGTATTTTATTACAACCACACTGGGTGAAGAAGTCTTCTCCACTTTAAAATTAACATTGTCCTATATTAGTTTTAACTGCACATAACGAGGGCGTTCTTCGTAGTTCGTAAAGTTGTGTCCTCACACCTTACAGTAAGGTAAGAATCTGTAGCCAGATGTAGAGATGTAAAATTGAACAGTATTGCTCGATTTTCGTGTGAAGATGCTTTCAGTGTATTTAGCTGTTTCCTTTTGCCATTTATGTGTTTTAAGTGGAGAAAATAATGAAGAAATGAATAGGCTAGTGAACACGAACATTTTAAAATGTCTGAATGTATTTTCGTTAACATAGCAAATAATTTCACAAAAACTGTTCCAAATTTAGCGACACTTTATGGTTGTCAACAGTGGTCCATAATTTGTCAAATGTCTCTGGCAAAAGAGCAAAAAGATGCTACTTGGCAAATACACTCACATATTTTCAAGTGTGACTTGAGTGGAATTACATTACTTTTTGTGTTGGCAAGTTTTTCTCCTTTTGCTAATAGAGAGCGCAGAGAGAATGGAATCCCATCCGCATGGATCAGGACCTGCCTTGCAGTTCACAAGTGGTTTTAGTGAAGTATCTAGACCCGTCAAGACCTTTCATCTTCGAGACATCTACCGCCCCAAGCCAACCCCACAAAGGACCCCTGTGGCAATACGGCCACCCGGCCCAAAACCAGGTCCTCCCCAGGAGCCCGTTGTCCGGCGTAGGCAGTCATGCGAGCCAGAGCCAAAACCCATCATGAGGAGACGGGCTAAATCCCTCTCGTCCTCCACAGAAGAGCACACCTGCAGGAACGTGCAGGTCCGCTTCGTAGATTCGTTGGGATTGGAACTGGAAGATGTGAAGCTCTTCAAGGCCAGCGAGGACCCAATGGTGCCGGTCCACGTCATCACAAGACTGCTGGCAAGCTCTGAGCTGGCCTCCAGGAAAAAGCTGGAGCTCTCTCTACCCTACTTCCAGCCATCCTTCCCTGACAACATGCGTGCCGAGGCTGGTTTCCTCAAGCGCTTGTGCCAGCAGCGAGTTTGCCTGGAGCAGGTGTTTTGCTCTGAGCTGGGAATTATCGGAACCGTGCAAGTGCTGAACTTGGCCTATGAGAAAGAGGTTACGGTACGATACTCGTTTACGGACTGGAAGTGCAGCGCGGAGAGTAAAGCGAGCTGGATCTCCACCGTCCACAGAGATGGGCCAGATCCGGAGTCGGACATGTTTCGTTTTCACCTGCCTGTACCGCCGTTTATCCTGCAACCAGGTGCCATGCTACAGTTCGCCATCTGCTACCGGGTCAGAGGATTTGAGTTCTGGGACAACAATGGTGGGTGTAATTATAAACTGACCTGCCAGACGTACAAATTGACGGTCCCCGGAGAGTGTGAAGATAGCCTGGTGCATTTCATTTGACTCTCCACTAGCCATGGTCAGTGCTGTGAAAAAGTGTTTGCCCCCATCCTGATTGTGTCTGTTCTTGTGTATATTTCATACTAAACCTGAGTAAATACAGCTTTTATTGATTTATTTTCAATGAAGCTATCCAACACCTATCACTCCTGTGAAAAATAAATTGCCCCCTTAAACCTAAAATCTGGTTGTGCCAACATTAACTGCATCCAGGGACTTCCTTAGGGGGGTGCAACTGGTGCGGTCGCCGGAACGGACACCCCCCCCGGAACGCAATCTCGAATGGACCGAGGGGGGCTCCGCTCCCTAGATCGCACCGGGCCCCGCATCAGCTAAGGACGGCCCTGACTGCATCTAAACGCTTCAGATTACTGGAGATCCGTCTTTCACAGCGCTGTGGTGGGATTTTGGCCCATCACACAGTGTGGCCCCTTGGAGGGTTTTCAAGCATGAACTGCCTGTTTAAGGTCCTGCCACAGCATCTGAATTGGGTTCAAGTCAGGATTAGGCCACTCCAAAACTTTAATTTACCTACGTTTTCATAGCACTGTATGTATAAAGAGCCTTTATAATCATGTGTTTATCCCAAGCATAGAGTACTTTAATACTAATAGTCACACTAATAGAATTTATCATAAAAAATGGCTCTAATTTCAGGACTGGCTCCCACCCAAGAACAATTAGAATGCAATACTTGATCAGTTCAGTATTATTATTGCTGTAGGAGACTTTCATCTTTAAGTGTCTGTGCAAAAATAGAACAGACTTCATGCACATTCTTTCAATTCCTTTAGAGCTCAAAGCTGTAGGGATATTGCACGTTATAGTGCTATTTTAATCATTCACAGTGTCGTGCCTACAGCTATGCAGTGCAGTCTTAACATCTCTTTCAGAATGCTTAAAAATGTGTGATGGATTGTCTTGCATATTTCTACGCTGGAAAACTTTTAGAATAATTCACTGAGGTTTGTACATTTGTTTCCAGTTGTGCCTTGTTAACATCTTATCCAGGAGTGCCATGTGGAATTAGACTATTTTAAAAATCATTAGTTCTCTAATGCACAAGCAGACGTTGCAACTTGCTTGTATTAGTCCTAATCATGTATTTCCAATTAAATATGTTACTCAATAAATAAAGCAAAACAAGGTTATGCTCTTGATTTTTGCTTATTCGCAGGAGTGAATATGAGTAAATATGAGTGATACTTTTCTTATTCCCTTGCATTAGCACTCTTCTTGACCTTTCCCCGGCAGAGATTTCTCCATCCGACCTCCTGCTAATGGCATCTAAGGAAGGCAATCAATGTGCTTCTGACTCAGTCCAGCTGTAAGGGCACATGACAGAAATTTGAGGTCAGGTCTAAAAATATCATCATCTTTAAACCAAAAACAAAACTACTATAAGCACGCCTTCACCTTTGACACACAGCCTGACAGTTGCAGTGCATTTCTGAAATTATTCAGCCTGACTGCCTTTACTATTGTTATAACTACACAAAAGTATGCAGAGCATTACCATCATTGTGCATAATGACATGTTTGTGAAGTTTCTAATTTGTTACTTCTTTCTTTCTTTCTTTCTTTCATTGTATAACAATAGATCATTGTGAACTGTTGTTGACAGTAACAGAAAGCATCTGCGATTTTAAATAATACTGTGATCAAACACTAGATGGTGCTGTGAATCTTGAGGTGGACATTTGTAACTTTAAATCTTCCACATTTGATTTAGGGAAGAAAAGGACGATCAAAACAGACTGATCTGAAAAACTCACTGTATATACGTACTTAGAAAATTGAGTCTTGGCCCTAAATTAAGTATCATAAAACTGTTTGTACCCCTTGTCATGCTTAGTTTAACTGGCTTACGTTTTATCCAAACATCGATGTTGCCCAATTACAGTACATTCATAGTCACTGCATACTATAGGCAGTTTCTTTTAAAAGAACTGATAAAAGTGTGGCCATATTTGTCAGCTAATGTGTGTGGGATAAACTAATTTTGGTTTGTTCCTTGTTTATACCCTATTGCACATTTTCTGACAAGGATTTCTTACAAGATGAGGAAGAAAATCCCTCAATTTAGTGTTTTTCTGTGCCTTGTGTCATACAGAAATGAATCAAGACATTATTACACATGACAAATGTCCTGAGATTTACCTCAAAATAAAAAAGGCAGGACCTGGAGTTTGCGTACAAAGAAATATAATGACTAGCCCCACAGCTCTGTTTGTGTTTCACTGGCCTCGCAGAGAAATATTAACCGGGAGCTTTAGTGGCTCAGGCATCCATTTCTTCCGATGAAAGGAGACTGACCCAGTTAAGGAGCTAATCTCTTATGCATGAGCTTTAAATGCTTTCATTAATATTAATCATTAGGGCTGTCATGTAAATAACTCGACTGTAAGTGCAATAGCCATATAAAAGAGGAGATCGGGATGCAGATCTTGTTATATTTATGGGAGTTTGTGGTTTTGTCATTAACTTAAAGACGTGGTCAGGTTGTGGCAAGCCCTCGATTATCACAGCTCCAAGCTCTTTGTGTTTTCACAAATGTCAGTCTCTCCTCGCACCATTCCTGCTGTGAATAATGTAATCAACATGCTGGATGTACACTTCTGTTCTGCTGCCAGGCCTGTGGAGCTGATGCAGATACAACTCTACTGAGAATAGATCAAATAATGCGTGAAAACACATCTGATGCTCTTACATGAGCAGTGCTGATCTGACACAAAAGTAGCTTTGTCATTTATGCACTGTCTGTTATACACATGTTATAAAACCAGTGCAGAATCTGTGCATGACAAGACAGACGTGTGGTTGATGCCTGACTTAAACCTGTGTTGTACACGATAGTAATAATATGTGCATGAATTTCAAGATGTTTTAATATGAACTATACAGAATGAGTCATTTTGGGAGTGGTAAGTCTTAAGGTCTTGAAATTGCCACTGTGTTAAATTACACATTTCACCTTGCAAAGGAAAATTGCACTAAACAGTGTTTGCGTGTCCAAGTAGGGAGCGATGAATGCCATGCTGGAAATGTTACGATGCACTTCATGTCATTTTATAGCAGTCATGTTCTCTCTGTGAGATGTCTGGAACATCATACTAAAAAGCTCAATTAGATGGACAAAACCCTCAGCTACTTAAAAGTGAATTATTTTCTATTAGTCATTAAAGGTGTTTTGGAAAATCATGCATAAAAGGTTCCTATTATCTGACATTATCAGTGAGCAAGGTGTCTTGAGAAACACACCTGTCTCTGTTCCAGCCCCAACGAAATAGAAGGAAAAAAATGTTTAAAGGAGCTGCCTTTCTCATCTAAGAGAGAGAGGTTTTCTAACATGAGCCAATCAGAAACACTCTTTGTGATTTGATCAGTTTTGTGGGACACCATGCAGACTCTTTTGATTACTTTGTCTGTGTAATATATTAAACACATTTTGAATATATAGCTCTTATTGACTTCAGTCTCACAAGTACTCACAGGTTGGAAAGTATTAACTTATAGAAATAGCCAATATTTCTATTAAAATTCCTCAGGAGAATAAAAGTAGACATGAATGAAACTTGTAAATTGTTGTTGACTTATAACAAGAATATACTGTATAGCCAAGTATAATAAAATGAATGTGGACTACACAGATGCTTTGGCATCGGAAGAAACTGATGAGAAATGCTTGATTTCATTTTTAAAGGGATAGTTCATCCAAAAATGACCAATCTGTCATCATTTACTCACCCTCTAGTTTTTGTTCTTTAATCTGTTGAACACAAAAGAAGATATTCCGAAGAATGTTGGTATGAAAATATATGAAAAAAATACTGCAGAAGTCAAAGTCGGAGCGACTTCATCGTGTGGTCCTCGTTCTCCTTTCCGATGCTGTATACTCAAATGGGGACTGAACCCATGACTAGTTATTTCTAGTGCCATGCTCTGCTTTTTGAGCTACATAAACGATTTGACTTTCTTATTGGTTCATATAGACTGTAAGTGTGGAAGAACACAGCAGCAGGAGTGTGTTAAAAAGGAAAAAATAAACTAGTTTTCACCATTGCTGTAGTTTCTCATCAGTTGTTTCAATAATGATGTAAATATTGTCTAAAACCCTTCATTAATTAATTTCAGACTCTAGTTTGCGATCTTCACGTCTTCTTTTCCATTAACCTCAAAGGGAAACTGTGGCGGTGTTGTAAGGTGATTATAGTGCGCTCTCTCCATCAACCGACACCACTGACCTGCTTTCTGCTGGCCCGCTTACAGCAGCTACTCTGTCATAACGGAAAAACTGTGACTTCTTAACATATAACCTAACATTAACTCGGCCAAACATTTAATCCGTGTTTATTCAGAAAAGAGAAACGAATGTAAAACTAAAGGCAGATCTTCCCTGTGTGTGTGTGTGTGTGTGTGTCAATGGAAATAATGACTTCTCGTGTTTTCTTCAAGGACAGTGAGATCTCCTGAGCGCTTATGTAAGACTACTATATCTAAAAGACTTGAAAGAAACTGAATCTGGCGTACATGAAACAAGAGATCGATTAGACAAACGAGCACAAGAGATGAGGATTGTCAGTAAAGTTGGTCCATGAGAGTTAAAGGAGATATGTGACCCTGGAGCACAAAAGCAGTGTTAAGCCCCCATTGGCATCAAAAGGTGACCGTTTAAAACAGTCCATTACAAAAAAACGAAAAAGTCAAATGTCTTTTTTTTTTCTTTTTCAAACAGTCTTCCACCGTCCCACCAGAGTCCCCTGAAAAAGAATAAAGGTCCAGACTTGCAGCTGGACTGAGTGGTGTTTGGAGGGTTTTGGCTTCTTCAGGCTGAAGCTCCAGAGACATAGCCTCCAAGGTTCACTAGCGCCCAAATATCAGGCCCCCCATGGCGCAGCCATGGACAGCCTCCTGAGGTCTTTGACTTCACAGAGATACCGTTAGCATATTCTTCACGGAAGAAACCTTGCTATGGTCGATGGAACCTGCAATGCAAAGGGAGAAGACACCTGTAAGACGCTCCAAAAACCGACTATCATCCACCAAATCTGTATTAATAGAAGAGCGGTGTGTGTGTGTGTGTGCCAGACAGAGCTCTGCTCAGCACAGGACTGGGACCTTGTTCAGCTATTTGTGTCCACAGAAATGAGGTCTAACGTAAAAAAAACGTAAGCTAAATGTGAGCAAGCATTTGTTCTACATGTCGGCGAGTGCTTATGTGTGCTTATTCTGCAAATTCCGCACTTTCAGGACAGTGCAGATACGGCTATATTTAGAACAGCCTCCCGTATTGATCTACTGTATGTGTCCTGCACCTTTAGCTGTTACGCAAGCGACCGTGTGAGAAGTGATCTATCGTAGATGCAATGACTTTTTTTGTGTTGAACGAATATTGTCCTATCATAACAAACCATACATCAATGGAAATCTTATTTATTCAGCTTTCAGATTATGTATAAATCTCAATTTTGAAAAATTGACACTTAAGACTGGTTTTGTGGTCCAGGGTCACATATGTAGTACGTAAACCCAAATATGAGCACGTTTAGCTAAATCGATTCCTCATCCATCCATTCATTCAGAAAAGAAGACAGACATTGTCGTTTGTAAAAAATCCAAAGCTTGTACTGTACAGACAATAAATAGTCCTTGCAAAGGTAAGACATGATTTCCGTTCCTCGTACTAACATCTATACAGCTGATATGAAACTCAAGTTTTAGTAGGAGCCCAGAAACTTTCGGGGTGTCACTACAGCACCAACACTGGTGTGGGAAAAACAAATCTGTATTAATAGAAGAGCGGTGTGTGTGTGTGTGTGCCAGACAGAGCTCTGCTCAGCACAGGACTGGGACCTTGTTCAGCTATTTGTGTCCACAGAAATGAGGTCTAACGTAAAAAAAACGTAAGCTAAATGTGAGCAAGCATTTGTTCTACATGTCGGCGAGTGCTTATGTGTGCTTATTCTGCAAATTCCGCACTTTCAGGACAGTGCAGATACGGCTATATTTAGAACAGCCTCCCGTATTGATCTACTGTATGTGTCCTGCACCTTTAGCTGTTACGCAAGCGACCGTGTGAGAAGTGATCTATCGTAGATGCAATGACTTTTTTTGTGTTGAACGGTTATGCAAACGTGGAACAATATATAGAAACAGGCCATGTATATATACACAAGGAAGAAATGGAAACACACACTGACCTTGTTAGGTGTTTGCTTGACGCATGAACCTCCATTTCGGTGCTCTTGAACTCATTCAGCTCTTTGCGTATCGCTGCCTGCGAGGCGAAAACAACAACAATGAGCTCCTGATAAACAGGCAGGCACACTCTTGCAGCAGGTCACTGGAAAGAAGATCTCCTGAAGTTTTATAAATGATCTGTTATGGTTTTGTTAACAAAAAAACTGGTCATGATAAGGCACACGCAGAATCTCAATGCACATCATCCATTTTTACACATCCTCTGGACCTTGTGTGTTTATTTATAATAGGTCTTTTAGGAAGAAGTCTTTTTTTTTTGCTCCTTAAGGCTGCATTTATTTGATCATAAACACAGTCAAGTCTGTAATGTTGTGAAATATTATTACACTTTAAAATAATGGTTTTCTATGTGCAAATATGTTCAAATGTAATTTATTGCTGTGATTAAAGCTGGAATTTACTTCAGAAATCATTCTAATATGCTGATGTGATGCCGCTCAAGAAACATTTCTGATTACTATCAATGTTGAAAACAGTTGTGATGATAATATTTTCATGGAAACCATAACACGTTTTTTTTCAGGATTCTTTGACGAATAGAAAGTTCAGCATTTATTTGAAATAGAAATCATTATAAATGTCTTTAATGCCACTTTCAATCAGTTTAATGCATCCTTGCTGAATAAAAGTATTTATTCCTTTAAAAAAAAAACTTAATTTTAATAATGCTGTTTGGACTTCTTTAACACAACTTGTATAAATTGTTTCCGTAAAATTCCAAAAAAATAACAAAAAAGCACAGAAAATGTGAACTCCGCAGATTATACAAATATTTGTATTTCCTTCTCATTTTATTCATGCATTTTATATAACAGAATCACATCATGATATTTTAGATGTATCAAACATAGAATTTTATTTAATTTTTTTATATCAAATGTATCTCTATTATCTCAACGTGTCAGTGTGTGTTGGCCTGTAGGGGGCGCATGTGAGTTTCTAATGCGCACCTTATCTGAAGCAGATAGTCTCGTCCAGGGCTTGTCTGCTCTCCTGTCGTAATCCTGAGCTTTGGCCACTTCCACATAGTCACTGAAACGGATCAGAATCTTTCTGTCCCGCAGCTCGTCGACGGTGGGCCGCTGATTCAGCTGGAAAGACAAGAAAAAGAGAGGTTTAGTTGAACAGCTGCATCAAGGAAAAAAACGGATCGTTCCTACTTAAATTCTGTAAAGGATGAGATGAGTTTCAAGTAGTTGTAATGCTCATAAAAGACACAGACTATAGTCTAAAAAATGCTGGGTTGTTTGAGTTCAAATATGGACTAACCCAGCTGTTGGGTAAAATGTTTTACATTAATTTTTTAACCCAAATGTTGGGTTAGTCCATATTTGACCCAAAGTTGGGTTGAAACAACCCAGCATTTTTAGGAATGTATAGTTAGGCTCATGATCCAATTACTTGACAAAATAACTGCTTATTCTGATTCAGGTCATCTTGTTATCATTTATAAATAGATTGATTTCTTGACCATTGGCGTCTGTTATTTCTCTTGCTGCAGTAAACCACTCAAGGTTGTGTGTTACAATGATTTGACCACATTTAGGCCCCGTCCACACGGAGACGCATTTAGCTGTATACGCATAAATTTTTCGTCCAGACGGATCCAGCGTTTTGGGAGAGTGAAACCGATATTTTTTGAAACCGGGTCCCAGTCGAGTGGATAAATCTGAAAACGCCGCCCTTGCGTTTTCGTGTGGACAGCGAATCCGTATATTTTCTGAAACGATGACGTCATCAGCCCACGTCTAGCCCCGAGTCAGACACCGCTATGTCACGTAACAGCAACAAAACATGAACAAACACTGAACGATTGGCTTTTTATTAACTAACATTAACAAATAAATGTATTGTTCCATGTTTGTTTGTATACCACGCACAAGGTTTATGCGCATAGTCTTCTTCTCCGTTATTAGTGTATCTCTGTGGCAGAATTACAGCGCCACATGCTGGTCTGGCATGTATACTACATCGTTTTGTGTCGGTTTCGTGGTTTCGTGTGGACGCAGATATTTCTTGAGACGAGGGGAAAAAAAAGATCGGATAGGGAAAGCTCTGGCTTCGGGTGAACGTAGCCTTAAGGAGCTTTATGTCAAGAACACACTTTCGACTTGCTGCTTCAATATTACATGAATCAATTATTTGCCATTAACAGTCGAGATTGTTCTCTTAGTATTATTATCGGTTGTTTTAAAATTGTCATTGTTCTTATATGATGACAGGGAGTTTATAGGCTTTTGACTGACTGTGAATGACTGGTGTTACAGCAGTAACAGTGTCTTTCCTCAGATAACTCAGGCTAAGCAGACAAATGACAACACATATGTGTATGCATATGTGACTCGATCAGAGAGATATTTTTGTCAGGACCCACATACCTTTCTGTTTAGCCTTTGCTTGATTTCCCTTCTCTCCTCTTGCTCTGTCTGGTCATTCTTCTCTGCAAATCCACCAAAAAAAATAAAAAATCACAGATGAGAAAAAGCAAGCACACAGTCCACAGAGGTACAGATTAACTTTGAAGTTTTAATCCAGCACACAACACGAAGATCATGCTTACACACCACAGCACTTACACTCATGCACTACTGCTGGAATATCAAGCAAGTCAGTTTTCCTCCTGATTCAAATGTCAGTTTATTCAATATGTATACTGCATTTTTAATTAAAATAAACCAACATTCTTATGATGTTTTAATCAAATCTCTCATGGCTTGTTTCCATGTCTAGCTCGTGTTTAAATCAGATCTCTTGAACATCTGTGTCCGCAGCTGTCCTGAAGACCCCTGCGCATATCACCAGAGCGCCAGATTACTGCATTTCTTTAATAGGCTTTATCCTTTCACAGCACAGGATAACATTGTTCGCTTACATTTCCCTCTGTCAAATACGTGGATTATCTGAATCTGTGCTGCGAAGGATTTAGCGTGGGGAAAATACGGGACGCACGTGTCTTATCTAGTATGATGAAACTAGGATAAACGCATTTAATGTTCTGTCACTTCAGGACTCATTGCTTGTCCTTGCTTTGACTAACATCTTGTCTCAAATCGCAGTTCTTGGAGAGTGAGCGAGCGTCTGGAGCATGTGCACAGGAGAGATCAGCCGAAGTCAGCAGACAGCTGCTCAGAGTCAGAGGACACAGGTGCCGCGGCCCAAGATAGAGGCCTCGCCTAAACCCCATCACAAGTGTGCTGGGGACACATGCTAGAAATACATTAAAATTCCATTTACACTAATGAAGAAAAGCCTAAACACAAAAAGGTTTTTCTTGTAAAGTTCACTAATTATTTAAATCATGTGAAAATCATCACACTATTACAGAGCAATTAAATGAAACAGTGAAATTACTCTGTTTGACTCAGACGGTGATCATGTGCAGACCTGTGTAATCTCTGCCACTCCGTCTCAATCTGTAATCACTCATATTATTGTGTCGAGCGCCAGACGGATTGCATCTATAATCTCTCTATTCCAAATGAGCTGAAATTACATTCACGCCTCCCTCAGATTTATCCTGGTGTTTTGTGTGTGGATTTTTTTTTTTTTTTGAAATATAGAGTCCTGTTACAGAAGAAATATGGAATCTAACTTTTACCATAGAAATACACTTAAAAATATTTAGTGTTGAAAGAGTTTTCACTCAGAAATCGGCAGTTAATTTCACAAACAACTACAAAGAAACACCAAGTCACATTAAATTAAATGTGATATTTTTAAGTTGGAAAAACTGAAATAGTATTTTCTTGTAAAAGATACTCCAATGATCTTTGTTTTCATTACTTCAAAAAAATATATATATAATAAATACATGTTGTATTGGGTGCTCACATTGTATGCGAATATAATTGCAACCTGATATAGCCTACTCATCAAAACTTTATAACCTCAAACTGTTCATTAGACTACATGGAATATTTGTACTTCAATTTCACACTGGTGAGAAAAAAAAGGTGAATATAGTGTCAAACTAAAAAGAAAAGGTGACCAGTCACAGCAAAATTGAAGTGAACACAGTTGTGATCTATTTCTATTTGAGCTAACTCTTATAAATTACGTTTGTGATGTATTGAGTGAGATGAATTAATGCATATTCATATTTATTTTAGAACTACAGTAACATCTTCTGATTTCTCTCAACATGGGGACAGGAGAGCTGTCGAGCAATAAATTGGAAAAAAAAGTAACTCAGATATTCTCTTGTAAATTAAAAAGTAATGCGTTACTTTACTAGTTACTTGGAAAAAGTAATGTGATTACGTAAGTCGCGTTACTTGTAATGCGTTACCCGCAACACTGATCCTAATCAGGTCAAGATGATTTAGTCACATGAAATAACAGTTTTGTGAATATAACCAAGTTCGTGCATTAAGTTGCCTGACCATTTTTATTTCAGTGGATAAAAACATACTTTATTTTAAAAACACAGTAGTATGAATTTCAAGCAAAATGGTGATGCTATTTGTCAACAGGCAGGTAATAAACATGATTTCCAGCTAGAGGAAGAAAAGTCTACCTCCAGCATCCCGGACGCGTTATCTGTGATCTGACAGGTGCGATACTCACGTTTGAGGATGTTCCGGCTCTCCAGCTCCTCCACTGCTGGTCTCTGACTCAGTCTCCTGCGGAAAAACACCAAAATCACGTTCTGGACCATTTTGATGCAATCTCCAAAGTGTCTTTGACAGTCTCTGCTCAGCAGCGGGGATCCCGCGATCCGCGCATGTTACAGGGGAACCCTGCGTCCCATCTCGCGTCTAAACATCGCCGAGGATCAGCACGACTAAAGCACTTCCACATCACCAGGTTTATTATTATCTGTGCTTGAGATTCCCTGATTTGACGGAATGAAGCGAACGGCACTTGTTCATGGGAGCGCGGTTATTACGCGAAAGCCTCATCGACGAAGAAATACGCCGATAAGTGTCGGTTTGTATCAAAAAGCAATAGAAAAGAGTGAAAAAGATGAAGCGGAGACGGAGATGGGCATCTGGTCCTGAGTTCTCTGAAGTCTCAGAGTGCTGTGTGAGATACTGGAGATCCTTTACGCATCATTTATAAAGGGGGCGGCGCGTGCGGCAGAGATTCCCACCCACACTCAGTGCGCGCGCCGGAGGAATATGCTGCAGTCAGGGAAAATACAACCTCCATCCACACCTCTGATGGATCGTGCTTTAATATCGAAACAATATTAAAGTTGATCGCAACAGAGATATGAAAATATATACCACTAAATCAGAACAACTCATCTGCTAAAGGACTTGTTCGAGGGGGAAAGCTTTGGCGTCGGTGCGCTTTAACTCACTCAGTCTCATCAGTGTTCTGAGTTTCTAAACGACGCTGTAGAGAGACGTGTTGGGCGGGGCTTTCATATGCATGTGAAGAAATATATGCATGCAAAATTATGTAATCGTTCAACTTATTTAAACAATAAAGTCACATAATGCTAAACGCTTTTCAAAACGTTTGAAATCCAACTATGAATCGCTAAATATCATAGTGTGTATTTTATGTCAGGTTACAAATGCACCACAATTCCCTACACTTTTCTTTTCTTTTGTTGGCGGAAAAGGTGATTTTGACATTTACAAAATGAATAAATTCACAAAAAAATCTGCAGATGCAATATACACTCTTAAAAATAAAGGTGCTTCACGATGCCATAGAAGAACCTTTTTGTCTAAATGGTTCCATAAAGAACCTTTAACATCTGAAGAACCTTTCTGTTTCACCAAAGGTTCTTTGTGGCAAAAGAAGGTTCTTCAGATTATAAAAAGGTAAGAAAGAGATGGTTCTTTAAAGAACCTTTGACTAAATGGTTCTTTGTGGAACCAAAAATGGTTCTTCTATGGCATCGCTGTGAAGAACCTTCTAAGCACCTTTATTTTTAAGAGTGTGGCCTGAATAGATAGAATTGTATCCTAACTGCATCAGTGACAAAACACACATGAACATCCCTATGGAAATCAAGCAATGAGTCGTGTGACGGAATGACAAAAAAAAAATAGATTTGACACATTTGTTCAATTTGTTTTGTCTAATTGTGCTTTAAGATAACAATGTATAGACCTCACATTGAAATGTATGATCTGTTCATTTATTGTAGACCACCTTGCAAACCCCCAGGACACTGGGGCCCTAGGTGACACTTATATTGCCTATATGATGTGTAGCTTCATATCACTTGCTCACTGACAGATTCACACGGCAGCTTAAGTCTTCAGTGTGATGGAACGTCGTGTTCACACACTTTAATTGTCGCGGCACAACAGAACATGACGCCATGAATCATACAAACAGCAGGCCTAAGGTGGACTTGTACACAATCTGCTGTTAAAAAAACACAGTTCCAAACAAGAGATGGATATTTTTAAATCTCGCCTGATTGGCCCAGGTCCTGGAAACATTAGCTGTGGGGACATTAAGCCGAGCCATCCGGAGCAGAAGCTCAGCTGTGACACCGCATTCACTGAAGCCTTTAAATGCACTCAACATAGGCAAAACAGAAACAAAACTAAAATAAACGAATACGGTTGAATTCCATAGGTTTTTCGGATCCATTAGTGAACTGCATTAGTTTACATGAACTATAATGAAACATACAATAAGATTCCATTTGTTAACTATATTTGATGAATTAAATAACATATACTAACAATTATCAATACATCTGTTACAGTATTTATTGATCTTTATTAACGTTAGTTAACTGTTAATTTTTAGTCCATGTTAACTCAGGTCCATTAAATGACATTAATAGATGCAACTTTCGATTTAGCTGATGTAAATGCTGGGGTTAATATTAACTAAGATTAATAAATGCTTTAGAAGTATTTTTCATTGTTAGTTTGTGTTAACTAATGTAGTTATCTAATGCTAACAAATGGAACCTTATTGTAAAGTTTTACTGATGTTTCCTAAACATTTATTAACCTTAGTTAATATTCATTACATTATCAAAATTAAAAATGATTTCTGTTAATATTATTGAATGGACCCGAGCTAACCATGAACCGAACTAACAATGAACAGATCTATTTTTATTAACTAATACTAACAAATCTTGATAAGTAGTGTTAAGTAATGGAATTTACAGCAAAGTGTTACCGGTTTTCCTAAACATTTCACAGGTTGGTCTGCTCCTGTTAGATATATATAAAAAAAGAACTTGAATACAGACTATAAAAAGGCTACGATTTTTTTCCAACATGCAAAACCTGAAATACATCTAAATCCAGCATTTATTTCTGAAAATGTGCTATACAGAGGAGAAATGGCTATTTAGAGAAGTGTTTTTATCAGCACAATGCAACATCTCAAAGGTGTTTAGTTCTTTATAGAACACCCTGAGGTCATGCTCCTTCCTGACGATAACTTCCTCCACTTATGAAACATGAGGATGTGCTATATATTAAGTGAGCCACCGCTGTGTCAGAGCGATAAGCCGGTTACAGGAGCAGCCCCTGATGGGACTGTCAGTGAGTGGTTGTGAGTCAGTCTGGATTTCACGGCCTGCCGTTGTCCAGTGAGCTGTGCCTTAATGCCCGACCCTCGTTCCGGTCGACCCAGCAGAGCGGCCGAGGATATGAAGGAAGCTTCAGACAGTCACTGACTGCACGGCTTTGACTGACAGCCAAGTGTGTCTAGAACACCCTGAGGGACAAGGATGCCAAGCATCATTACAAAAGTTACATGCATGCTTAGGAATAGTTTGAGTGTTTATGTAACTTCCAGTGTGCTTCTTCGAGTGTCATTTGGATTCCTGAGTGCGTACTAAAAATTAGATGTACAAGAGAGATGAAGGAACTGAAATCTTGATTCTTTGTTTCTCTGACACATGTAATATTACACAGTGCCATTTGCAGTACGTAATGACAAAGTTATCTATCCTATTACAAAAAAAAAAGAAGACGACATATTTGAATTAGACAGATGTTTTATTAGCGTTTCTGATTTTTAGCCGAAATGATGTCCGAGTTGGTAAGTTTGATCACTTTCTGTTTCAATTAATCTATTAAACAATCAGCTCCACATACTTGTATTACTCAAAGTGTTCAAATTAGTCTCCAATTACCATTATTCATGTTTACATTTTTAAATATTTTAAATACATTTATAAAATTTTGATCAAAAACACAGTCAATATATATTGCAATATACACATATTTATAAATATCCTTACAATATATTCTGAATTTTCAGCATCATTACTCCAGTCTTCAGTGTCACATGATCTTCAGAAATCATTCTAATATGCTGATTTGCTGCTCAAGAAACATTTCTGAGTATTACCCATGTTGAAAACAGATGTGCTGGCTGATATATTTGTGGAAAATGTCTCTTTTTTTCCCGCCTTTTTTTTTTTTTGAAGAACAGCATCAATTGTGTAACCACATCTAAGTGTAACCAGTGTGGAGCCCATGCCTTGATTTTTTCTGTATTTTTCTTGCATTAAACGTTTGAGTCTACATAGCAACACTAGCTGTTTGAAATGATCCTCTCACATTAATATCAAGATATATGACAAATAGAAAGGTAGCCGAATATTGAGCCATATTCAAAATGCCGTACCTACTGTACTATTTAGTAAATATATAAATAAAGGCTTAGACATGAAAGCAATTTTATTCATGGCTCGCTTTTAATAATTCATCAAACCTCTCGGCTGACCCCAGGTCTGCTCTTTAGAACAGAGCAACATGTGAGACAAAGAGCTGGTGGCCTCAGTCTGTCCCTGCATAACCCACTACAGGAACAACGTGAGGTCTGATCTTCAAACGCCTCCACATCTATAGTCACTCTAAAGTGTGATACGGTCTAAACTGGCGCCCGCTGTGCTTCTCCTCTGATGTACTTCAGAAACGCATAACAGCTGTGAGGCAACAAATGCGACTGATTCATTACAAGAAAATGAATTTACTGGCCCGCTTTTAAGAGTGCATTATAAAATGCATTATAAATACTATGAGAAAGCATCTTTTCTTCAATCTTCAAGTTGGGTACATTGGAGCCAAACAAGATACTAATTGCTTCATGCATTATTTTTGACCCATTCAGCTCTTTCCTTAAATAGATGCTATCCTCATGAGGCCAGAACTGGGAATGAACACAAATCGATTTGCTGTTGGGTTGAAACAATGTCTGCCACTGGAGGAACTGTCTATTTGTGGCCCACATAGCAACTCAGCCCTTTCCAGTGATTGATTTTCCAATACTGGGATTTTTATTGGAACCAGTTCGGTGGATTGGTGCTATTTTAGAATAGTACTATACTACATCTGTTCAGCTTTCAAAACATCACCCATTTCTTGTATGCTGTTTTGTAAATTGTCAAAATGTACCATTTTTTTAACACTTCTGTTTATACTCTTTGGAATAGCATGCACAGCTCAATCGTTCACAGCAAGAAAAGGAATATATACTGGGAAACTAAATCAAATCATTTTAATTTCCTTCTTGAAAGAATAAAACAGGACAAAAGAAGATCTGGAATACGTAACTCTGATGCAATGGAATGTGGGCAGCGTTTAATTGGTTGTGTATGCCTTTGTGCCTCTGATGACTTAATTAGCAAGTGTATTCAAATGTAAATATAGTGCTTTCACTGTGGGATGGCAGCAGC